CCCCCTTTGTCTCTGCTCGCCTTCCCTTGGCTCTTGCCTTTCATTCTCAGTGCTCCCCACCTCCCCGGGGATCGCTCTCTTCTCTTCTCACTCCTTTTTCCTCCCTTTTCTTCTATTCAATTCCCCATTTCTTTTCTTCTGCCTCTCTCTCTCTCTCTCTCTCTCTCTCTCCTTTCAAGTCTTCTTTTTTCCTTTTGAATAGCGCTTCTGTTTCCAAGGGGCGGGAGAAGTTGGAGAAGTGGCTGGTAAGGGCTTTTTCCCTCCGTTGCACTGTGTGCACAGACCTCCTTCTGCGGACGCGGGTATGTGCCAGCCCCTCTCGGAGAGGGCAGGGAATTCGGAAAGGTCCCCATTGGACAAGACGCACCTGTTGTCACAGATAAGGAACCCCAAGTCCTCCAGCCAGGGAATTCCAGTATGGCCCTGAGACCGAGGTCAGAGGTGAATACAGATCCCTCAAACTTGACTGGAGCCTGCTTTTAGTCTTCCTGGCCCAGGGGGTCCTTAGTGGAGACATGGAGACCTTCACTTGGGCTGAACCCAAGAAGGTCAAGCCGCGTGTGCATGACAACTGTCTAGTGGTGATCCCCCTACCACGGTGACACATCTCCACCTGCAGAAGCAGCTGGCCCCACATTAGCTAGACCTGGGCTGGGGGAGAGGGTGCTCTCTCTGTGTAGGCCTGTTTCCTGAGAGCTATGGCAGTATCTGCGGAGTACTGACTCCATGCCTACAGGGTCCACATGGGACCAGATGCAGGGGCACCGTTGCTGTGGCCGAAGTGGCCCTGGCTCTTCTCCAGGTATGTTGAGGTTTCAGTTCCCTGTCTCAGGACTGTTGCAAATCTAGGTTTCCTCTCATGCAGTGTTCTTGTTAGCCCCCTGGCTGGGCCCTAGAGAACCCACAAAACCCTACTAAGCCACCACCTCGCTGCTTGATTTCCCTAGGTAGTGTCAATCATATCTCTGTATTCTCTCAGGTCCCAGCGAACTCTGGGAGTCACCTGCTACTGTGATGACTTGGGGAAGGGTGGGGCAGCCATCTTTGTCCTAATGAAATCAAAAGAGAAAGAATGCTGTGCCGTCCACGTTTGGCTAATCTCAGCCACTCCAAAGTGACTTTAAAAGTTTTGAGTCTAGAAAGCTGAAAGTGGGCAATCGACACCTAGAACAGTAGCAGGCCTGGGGTGGGGGCTCGGTGACCTTAGCAGAGAGGTCAGTGTGGAAGCTGCAGAGATGGCTTCCCTGAGGCCGCCCAGCAGGACAGAGGCAAGGCCTGAGCCAGGGGACTTTGGGTGCAGGAGGCAAAAGGCCGAGGGATGGGGCAGCAGAGCGGCAAAGTCTGTTGACAGACAGTAGTGACCTTCCAGAAGGAGGGTAGAGGTCACAGAGCCCAGTGCAGGAGGAAGTGGGCTTTGCCTGGGCTGTGGCCTGCTGTGGTACCAGAGGGAATCTGGACACAGGGTCTGGAGGAGACAGGGGAAAGCAGTTGGCAGATACTGGGGCCAACTTTCTGCAGATGGAACCTAACCTGCTGACCCGAACTGGTTTCTTCATGGAGGAGGGAGGACCTCTGTCTGCCTATCCATCCTGAGGATGCTACCTGTCCTGGATCCTGTGCATGTGGCCAGTGGGGGACTTAGGACAGCCAGCTTGCCAGAAAGAGGAGCTCTTGGGAGGAGGGAGGCTTGGGCTGCTGTAGTCAAGGTGACTAGAGAGGAGGGCTTGGCCGGGATGTAACACACCTACCTCCAAGCCTGTGGGACCCAGCTACCAGAACCTCCCAGAGACAACCCATGTGTTGCTTCTGGGTTTGTTGGCGTGTGAATTGAATTTTTCATTAGCAAAAGTAAACACAGGATCTTGGATACTGACCACGACCAGTTGGGTGAATGACAGTGTCCCATGAGGTAGGGCCCATCGCTCAGGCCTTGAGTCAGGGAACCAACCATTCCCCCCCAGCAGAGAACTAGAGCAGAGGCAAGGAAGGCAGAGGGTAGCAGAAGGGAGAAGAAAGAAGTTCCTGGGAGACAGAGCTTCACTTGGAGGAGGGTGGCACTGGAGAGGGTTACTGAGGCACCTACTCTGTAGGCTCTGAGTCTGTTCCTTACGGGTACTCAGGTTTGTGCCTCAAGGACTTGGTAGAGACAAATGTGGCCAGGGTGACCCCTTCACCCAATGGAGTCCTGCCTGTGGGCTTTGCAGCCAGGGACTAAGTAGGGCTGCCACTGATTCCTGGTGCTACCTGCTTCTTGGGACAGCACCTGGCAAATCCCACCTGCTGGGACAGGTGTGGGTGGCCTTCAGGTTATTCCGGTTTGGGCAAAAACATTTCCAAGCCCTGCAGCAGGGCACCTATAAGGCAATAAATACCTCTTTCATGGTGGGCGGGCGTGGGGGGGGGTTGGAGGCCAGAGGACAATTTTGGGGAGTCAGTTCTCTCTGTCTTGGGATGTGGGGATCAAATCCCGCCTTGAGGCTGAGACTGCAAGTGTTTTTAACTGAGCCATCTCGCTCTCCCTGCCTCTTTAAGACCTGGCACCAAGGAGACAGCTCCTCCAGGAACTGGCTGTGTGGCCATGGAATCACCGAAGTCAATAATTGCTAACACTCACGGGCCATTGGGGTTTGTTCACCTTGGTCATCAAGCGGGCGCTCCTGCTGCACCTGCTGAAGGAGTCAGAAACTCTAGACTCCACTCCAAGCCGGGGCTCAGTGCTTCACAGCAGGCTGTCTGGTCTTATCTGTTGCCTGTCTGTCTGTCTATCTTATCAATTTTAAGACAGTTCAACTAAGTAGTCCAGGCTGTCCTAGAGCTGAGTGTGTAGTCCAAGCTAGCCTTGAACCTCCATATCCTTCTGCCGTCACCCTCTGAGTGCTTGGACTGCAAGTGCGGGTGGCCTATCACACCTGGCTCCAGCCTGCTTTTCAAATGACTTTTACAGCTGTGCCCCCATCTCCTGGGGATTATATAAATGACGTAGTGTTGCACACAGCCCACACATCCTCCGTCTGACTTAAAGCGTCTCTAAATGACTTATAATAATACCTACCACAATGTCGATGCTGTGTGAGTCGCTGGTGTGCTGTGCTGTTTAGGGGATAACAGCGAAGGAAGGAGCCAGTGTGTGTGCAGCACAGATGCAGCCATCCAGGCCTACATGCACGGCACACATCTGACAGCAGAAATGGCATCGCTCGCCCTAATTGTCTCCTCCTCTTCCTCTTCAGGGCTGCAGATACATTGCACTAACAATATACTCAGTCAGTATGTAGCTGAGGAGATTCTTCTTGTTGTTTGGCTTGGTTGTGGGGTTTTGTTTGTTTGAAGACGGGTTCTCCCTGTGTAGCCCTGGCTAGAACAGGAATCCTCCTGCTTCCGCTTCCAGAGTGCTAGGATCACAGAGGTGTACCACCACACTTGCTTTCTGCTCTTCTAAGACAGGGAGGTTCTCAGTAGCCCAGGCTGGCTGCATATTAGTGGCAATCCTGCACCAACCTTTTGGGTGTGAGACCCCATGCCCAGCTTCCTCCATAACCTTTAAGACCAATTTTTTTTTTAAATAAAGCAAACTTAAAAGAATATCTTTCTTTACAATTTCGTATGCACATGCATCCTGATCATGTTTATCCCTAACTTCCCCGGACATCCCCTAACACGCCCCCCGCCCCCACCTTCATGTCCTTTTGTTGGATTCTGTTTGTTTTGTTTTGCAACAAGCTCAGTTGAATTGGTGCTGCCTGCTTTGGGATGCTGGCTGATCCTGTCAGCTTGACCTTTGTGCGTATGACCGCGCTGCAGTGACTTCATGAACATGAAGGCCATGTCATGTGCAGATGACGGCTTCACCGCGCTACTCCTAACTTTTACATTCTGCAGTGTTCCCTAAGCCTCGGGGAGGCAGATAAAGCCAATTTTTATTATTTGTTTATTATTTTGTGAGTGTGTATGTGTTTGTAGATCAGAGGCCAACTTGCAGAAATCTGTGTTCTTCTACCAGGTAGGCCCTAGGGATTGAACTCGGGTCCTTAGGCTCATTGACAGACACCTCTACCCGCTGAGCCATCTCGCCAGCCCTCTGAATATTTTCAACTCACTGTTCCTCGAGCCCTCCCGTGAAAATGCTATGATACAAAGAGTCAACTCTACAAATGGCTGTACAGCCTCCTAATAGCTGCCCACACCCCTGAAATCAGCCACCTGGGACGCCGAACTCTGAGAAGCCATACTTGAAAACTGTTCTGAACCTTTCTGTGTCTCTACTTCCCCACGGCCTCGTCAGGATTAAGTGAAATAATGCATTTAGAGCGCGCGGGCTGGCACTACTTCTCAGGGCAGCCAGCCAGTCTGCTACCACTAGCGCTGGCACTTCGCCGCAAGAACAAGAGCAATGTGTGCACAGTCCATGCCAGGCCAGTGCAGCCCCTGGTAGGGAGAATGCAATGGTGTCAGGTTGGAAGGGACTTTGCAAACTGTGCAGCGCTGTGCCAGGTGAATGGATAGGCTTGTTCCTTACTCCACCTGCCTTTGTGGCTGTGGTGTGTGTGTGTGTGTGTGTGTGTGTGTGTGTGTGTGTGCGCGCGCGCGCGTGCGCTCCTTCAGTTGCTCTTTACCGTTTTGTTCTAATTTTTTTTTCTTTTTTGAGACAAGGTCTTTCACTGAACCTAGAGTTTGCCTGTTTGGCTAGACTAGGTGGCCATCAAACCCCAGGGACCTTTCTGGCACCACCTCCCCAGCACTGGGGTGACAGGTGCCCACCTCTATGCCTGGCTCTTTATGTGGGTTCTGGGGATCCAAGCTCGGGCTTCATGCTTGCACAGTGAGTACTTTATAGACTGAGCTACTTCCCCAGGAAAGCTGCCCTCTTTCCTAGTACTGGAAGCTGAGCTAACTTAGCCCTCAGACCCCACAGCAGGGAGAGCCAGGAGGGAACCCTCCCACCTCCAGGGAAGGCCAGGCATTCACTTGGCTTAAGATCAAAAGATCACTGTCTGTAAAAGTCATTTGGGCATTTAGGCCACACCCTTGCATCTCAAAGTCAGCATCTGGACACACAGGAAGAGCCACCACCCTGCTCCCGTGTGCCATCCTTTGTAATTCAGATAGAAGAACCGTGTTTCCTCTCTGGGCATCTCCCACCCACATCCATCAACCTGCCTTCCTCCAGAGACCTACCCTTAAGGCTATCTCCTGGGGCTTGCCTGCTTCTGACTTTCCGTCTCTTCCAAGTTCCCTGCTTACCTTTCTGCAGCTGGCAGCAACCAGGCTCTCTTAGCCCTTTTCTCTGTTAGCGTCTGGTACCTGTAGACCCAGCAGCCCGCAGTGCGCATGCCCTAAAGACAGTGCCGCGACCCCAGCCTCCTCCTCCTCCATTGCTCACATATATGCGTGTCCCTCCGCGGACTGTGGAGTTGAGGGCAGCACGCATGGACATGGGGCCCTCCACTTCTTGCACAGGCTTCCCCTCATCTCCCTGTATGGAAGTGAGTACACCAGGTCTGTGCCCGTGGTTCCCTGTGTGGCCGGCCAGTGTGTGTATCTGGCTTCTGCCCGTGTCAACTCCAGCGGTCCCGCCCCCCAAATCACGCTTCTCCTGGCGTAAACCCAGACCTGACTTGGGTTTGTGGGTGATTGCAAAATAAATGCTGATACCAGTGCCGGCTAGGCTGGGAGAGGCGGCACTGTCACAGGCTGTGCGGGGATGGAGGCCCCGGGATGAGTCATTGACGGCTGTGAGAAAGGGGAGAGCTCAGGGCCAGGCCACACTCCTTGCCTGCCCTCCAACCTCAGCACTTCTGTCTGCTGCTCTCCTCTGTACTCGGTCCCTTCCTTCCTCTACCCTGCGCCCTGCTGCATCTGTCTGTGTGGCAGCTTCCTATACCCTTAGCCAGGCCTCCCCACCCACCCTCCTGGAGAGTGACCCACATTGGTTGCATTCGTCCAGTGGGCTTCTGTTCCACCTCCTGACCACCTAGAAAGAAGAAATCATGTCCCATGGATAGGTCAGGTGACGAGGCCCACACAAGCCAGTGTGGCAGGAAGGGACAAATGTCAGTCTAATGTTACGGCTCAGGTCAATTCTGTTGTCTTCCACAGTGCTGGCTTACATGGAAGAACATTCCTGATCCCTTAAATGGGAGTGGGGGGAACGTTACTATGTCCTGTTGGGGCACCCCCCCCCCAATACTCATTTCCTGTCTGATTTGCCTTTTCTGGTTTGTGACTTTTAATCTTGTCTCTAATAAACTGTGAGGTCCCTGATATTGAAGATCTTTGTGTCCTGTTAGCACCTACCTGTCCCTTGAAATAGGCAACAGCATTGGCGGTAATTATGATAGCAATGGCTCCCATCCCTCTCTGCATACAAGCCGTACCTGCAGATTGCAGTGTCTCCCCCACTGCTTTCATGAAAGCAAGGCATGAGGTTAGACCCAGCTGCCACGTCACCTCAGGGCCTGGGCCAGGCCACTCAGCTCCTCTCTGCTTCATTTCCTCCTCTGGGAACTCCTCGTTTTCTCTTTTCCTGTCCTGACTTTTTTCTTTCTTTCTTTCTTTCTTTCTTTCTTTCTTTCTTTCTTTCTTTCTTTCTCTCTCTCTCTCTCTCTCTCCCTCTCTCTCTCTTTCTCTCTCTCTCTTTCTTTCTTTCCTTCTCTTCTTCCTCTTCCTCCTCCTTCTTCCTCTTTTCCTCCTTCTCCTCCTCCTCTTTCTCCTTCTCCTTCTTTTTTTGACAAGTTCTTGTTACAGAACCATGGCTGGCCTGGAATTTATTTTGTAGCCCAGGCTAGCCTTAAGGTTGCAACAGTCCTCTAGCTCAAAAAAGTGCCAGGATGACAGGCATGCACCGTCATACCCAGCTTATGGAAGGGGTCTTGTTACCAAGGTGCCATTCTTTACACCCATGACCTCAGAAGGTAAACACCTGACTTACAGCCCCCCCCCCTGGCCCCGGAAACTTGAGCCACCTGCTGAGAATGCACAGCTCAAGGTGGCAAAGCTGGAAGAAGACAGACACCTCTCCTGCTCATTTGCAGAGGGAGGCCCTGGCCTTCCTGGCTCCTCCCAGAACTCCCCTAGCACTCTCTGGGCCCTGGGAGCCCAGGACTCAAGACTAAGGATCTCAGCCAGCTCCTTGTCATGCAATGTTACTCAGCTACTGCCGAGGTCTTTCATGGCCCTTGGGCTCCTTCATCACACTCCATGTCACCAAGGGACTTGATACCACTTCTCCCATCCTGTGTTGATTTGAGCTTCCAGGCCACCGGCATAATCGGCTTGCTCTCCTTTCTGTGGTAAATCCGTTCCTGGACCTTTGTTTCTGATCAGTTCAGATTAAGCACAGCAGTGTCGTGGCCTAGAGGAGGCTGGGCTCGGGACTACAGTGTCTGGGAGTGCAGGGAGAAGTGGGGGTCTATAAAGGAAGAGCATAGTTAATAGGCCATGTGACTCAAACAGCAGTCCCTCCTCTCAGTTTGTCTGTCTGTAAAATAAAAACACAGATGTCCGTCTCCCTGCCTAGCCCCTACTAGGAGCTCAGTCTGTGGGAGCTGGAAGGACACTGGGGGGAAACCCTCAATCCCACCCCCCAAGGAGAGGGAGCCCTAGGAGTCCTGCACACCAGACAAGTGCTCTGCTACTAGGCCACACCCCCATCCCTGAAAAAGTACATCTTGAAGAATTGGTGATTTCTATCACCTGTTTGTACGGATGAGCGCTGGCTCCATTGAGAATCAGTAAGACAAGGTTTCTCTGTGTATCCCTGGCTGTCCGCCTGCCTCTGCCTCCCAAGTGCTGGGATTAAAGGCCTGCACCAGTTCTTAAGGCCAGGTGGGCCTGGGAGAGGAGCCTCAGGCTGTTGGGTTTCCCTGAGAACAGTGAATTCCTACCTTGTGCAGCATCGTGGGAGATTCTGGGCCTGTCTGAGCCTTGCTCTATCCTGAGGGTACCTCAGGCTACTCTAGGGGCCCTCTCCCAGCAGGCCCCACCCCCAACTATACGTCAAAGAGGGAACACTCTCTAGCAGGCAGAGGGTCCTTTCCTTAGGGAGGTTTTCCTTCCTCCTGGCAGCCCAGGGGCTTTGACCCTTTGGCTCATGGGAAGGGAGGCTGGAACTAAACTGGAAGGGCCAGGCCAAATCGACTAGGGTTTCTGTTTTCTCTTTTCCTTCCTTTTTATTTTTAAGCAAGAGATAAATAAATGTCACTCTGAGATGACAAGAGGCCGTTGGAGGAGATAAAGGGAACAGAAGGGGCAGCAGGGGAGGGCATGGGGGACAGCTGGACTCTACACTGATGGTGAGGGACATGAAAGAGGAGAGAAAGAGAGGAGATGGGAAGGCAAGACCAGACCGAGTGGCAGAGCGGAGGACGGGGTTGCCATGGAAACGGAAGAGGGGAGGAATGAAGGGAGAGGAAGACAGGATGGAGAAGGCAGAGGACTCTGCAGAGGAGGGGCCTGACAGGAGGCTAGGTGACTGGAAGGGAAGCCGTGAGAGGTCCTTTGGACCAGGTAGGTTAGCAAAGGAGGGAAAAAATGACCCTGAAAGCCGATCCTGTCCAGATATGGGTAGAGAGACCCTGGGGAGCCTGCTTCACCCTGCCCTCAGGGACTGCCTTAGTTTCTGGACCTGCGAGGTGGAAATGTCCCCTACTCCTAGAGGACTTCTCAGGGGTGCTCATGGAAGGGCCTGGCAAGGTTCAAACCCAATGAGTGCTCCTGTCTGCTTGCTCATTTGTGATTCTTATCTTTGCCCCCTGAACTTGTGAACCAGAATGTTGTTTGCTTTCCCTGTTCGGTTTAGCTGGAGATTTGGGGGGTCTGGCACAGATAGCATCCTCGTTGGTGAGAATACATGTGCTTTTTACTTCCGGAATTAGAAGGAAGACAAGGAGCCTTCCAGAAACCGGAGGCCTGCTGTCCCTCCCCATGGGGAGAGGAACTGGTCCTGCCACTCAGGGAAAGGGAGGCCAGTCCGGGCTTTCCACACGGCAGCTTGCCAAGCTGTGCTCCTCAACAACCTATTTCTCCTTGAGTCTGCGCTCACCGGGCTCTGCTGGGGTGAGCGAATGGGCAAGGTGTCTCCCTGGGGCAGTGTTCCCTAACTGGGGTGACAGATACGAAGCCAGTGATTGTCCAAATAACAATTTATTAGATCATTAACAAGCCCTTAAAAATTATGATAGGGTCCAAGAAGGGAAAAGGAGTGTTGCGGGTGGGACGTGATTTTGGTGTGTAGTCCTACGAACCTGGAGTTCACAAGGAACCCAGGGACTGTCCTTGAACTCCCAGGTGCCAGGATGGCAGGTGTGCACCGCCACACCTGGCAAGGAAAAGTATTTAGAAAAGGATTTAAACTTGAACTTGCTGAGAACTTAGAGGGTGGGGCCTCAGCAGGTGGGGTGGAACCGGGAAGATTGCCTCCAGATGTGACACTCGCTAGGCGTGGAAGGCTGCGGAACAAGGAAGAGCATTCCTGGCACNGGGGGGGGGGGGGGGGGGGGGGGGGGGGGGGGGGGGGGGGGGGGGGGGGGGGGGGGGGGGGGGGGGGGGGGGGGGGGGGGGGGGGGGGGGGGGACCTCTTGTGCAGAGTCTCTTGCATGCAAGGTCTGTGATGGAAAAATGAAAGCAGCGTAGTGAAGTGGCCACACGGGCCCAGATAAGCCAGGCAGGTTCACAGGTCCTTTGATCGCCCCCACAATGCAAGGTGAATGTGGGCTCTCACGATCCATCGGGCTTGGCATCCTGCCCTGCCTGATCGGTGTCACTTGTTTGGGGCCCCTCCCTCCCCATATTCTGCCCTTACAGCCCTTCGTGTTAGCAGGCAGTGCCCTGCCCAGAATGCTGAGGCGGGAGTCCGCGAGTATGGCACAGAGGTCTTAGGGCTTTGCTTCCCACCTCTGTGAGATGGCAGCATGGGCTGGGGGGACCCCAAAGTTCCAGCCTTGCAGTGAAGATCTGGGCAAAACGGTTAGAGGAAAGGGTTTCCATCAGAGGCTATGGTGAAATGCGTGTTCATCCTTTGCAATAAAGCAAAGAGATGCATCTCTTCAGTGGGTGTGAGTGCTGTCTGATAGAAGATTGAGAGAGAGCCTGTGGCTTCCAGGGGTCCTGGGGACTTGGCTTCCGGACCACAGGTCTGGATGCAGGCTGTAGCCCAGCCTTGTCTTTCTCCTGCCATGGCTCCATTTGTGACCTCAGTGTCCTTATTTTGAAAAGAAGGTGTGGAGGGCCTGGTGTTGTGGTGCACACCTGTAACCCTGGTGCCTGGGGGGGCCGAGTGAGGAGTGTCGTGAGCTGAAGCTAGCCTGGGCTACAGTGTAAGATTCTGGGGGTTGGAAGGGGAGGTCTGAGCCGGGAGGCTGAAGTAGGATGATCTCTTGAGCTCACAAGTTCGAGATCATCTGGGTAACAGATTGTCCAAACAGAGCAGGGGCTGACATATATATTAGACCTTTGTGTGGTCTGTGGATCGTGGCCCAGCTCCTACGTAGTAGCTAGCTCATGGAGTTGGTCTCGGAGGAAAGGGGAAGCCCAGGGAGAGAGAATCCAGCTACACTTCCCCTGGGCCCCTTGATGCTTGGGTGGCCATTGCTGACGGAATAGACTGCAGCAAGGAACCGAAGGTTTGCACAAGCAAGCTTCGGGCTTTCGCTTCCTCTTCTCTGAGGAGAAGTGCTCTTTGCAAGTCTACCATGCAGACAACAGGGAAGCTGAGAGGGAGGTTTTGCTACCCTGTGAATTCCATGCGTGTTTCTTCAGCTCCTCCCTTTTAGGCTACCCTTGGAGCCTACCTCTCCACCCCTCAGGGCCTAGGCCCAGTTTTCTCTAAGGTAGCACAGCTTAGATAGCAGGGCCAGAAAGGGAAGCTTGGGACCACGTGGTCTTAAGGTCTAAGTGACAAACTCTCACCGAGAACTCCTCTCTCTTGTTCCAAGAGCCTGTCCCTTCCCTGTGAGGCTCTACCTCCCAGCTGCACCTCTTGCCGCTCACAGATCTCAGGCTCCACCTGTTGGCCTGATCTTTATTTTGCTCCCTGCTGTATATCCTGGCAGTACTTGGGAAGGGCTTGGTAAACGTGTGTTAATTCAGTGAAGACTGAGAAGAAGGGCCCATGGGCCAAATTGAGCCCTCAGGAAATAATCACCAGATTAAGTCAGTTGCAGCTAGTGGGCACAAGAAGCCCTCAGAACACCTGACTTTTTTTTGGTTGGTTTTATTGTTGTTGTTGTTGTTGTTTTATTTTATTTTGGAACTTACTCTGTAGACCAGGCTGGCCTCCAACTCACAGAAATCCTCTTGCCTTTGAGTCCCAAATACTGGGATTAAAAAAGCCACCACACTGGCTTCCTTTTGTTGACTTTCAAAACTCCCAGGGTGGTGAGAGGCAAGGAATATCTTTGTCACAGGTTCTGTCCCTCCTTCCTTCAAACTGACTCTTAACCTGCCAATCCCAAATTAGACCCTTTCCCCTCTGCCTACCACCTCTGTCCAAGGCAACACTGGTCACTTTGCCTGAGCCTCTTCCCGCCCTCCACCCCAGAAATTCTTTCTCTCTGTAGCTCTGAGCTCTGGCTGTTGTGGAACTCGCTCTGTAAACCAGGCTGGCCTCGAACTCATATCCACTTGAGTTCTGTCATTGAAAGTGTGTGCCACCCCCACCCAGCCAAGCCTCCTTATCCTTCAGCTGGGGTATGGGGGGTGTCCTATTGAGGATAGGAGCTGCCAGGGCCAGGGCCCTGTGTAATGAGGGGACCCTGTGTGGCAGGCAGGTGGGATGTGGGCTTTAGATGTGAGATTCCAAGTAGGCCTTTGCATCCGTTTTATAGATGGGAACACTGAGGCTCCAAGGTGTCCAGTGACTCGCGCGTGGTCCCTGGGCTTCTATCAATCTTCCCTGGAGCCACAGAACAGAGATAAAACACTTTTGGGAGTAACAGTGAGAAGCCCAGGGGCCCTCTTTGAGGTGGGGAAGCCTGCTGCTGGGTCTCAAAGGGAGACTTGCTCCCTCCCAGGATCAGGCCTGACCCTCTGCCCCAGAGGTGCCGTGAGTCCTGGGAAATAGGGCAGCCCTGGGCTTCTGTGTCACTGTGGATCCCCTCCCCCTCCCCCTCCCAGCCTTTGTTTCTTGTCCTCCACAGCCTCTTTCTCTTTCCCTCCCTCCCCCTTCTCACTCCTCTTCTGCGCCCTTCTCTCCTCGCTGCCTTTTCTCCCCTCCCCCTCTTCCCCCCCCCCCCTTAGCCCACTCCCCGCGTTACAGCACACCAGCAGCCACTCTTTAACATTTACTTTCTTCACACCCTGGGGAGAGGGAAGACGGGCTGGGAAGTGGGAGGGGTTTAGCAGAGGTGCCTGCACTTATGGCTGTGTCCGACCATCCCCTCGCCCGCCCTGTCATTAGCCACACGGTTTGGAAGAGCACAGGGCCCTCCACGCTCTCTTCTCTTTCTTGGACGTTGTCAGGAGCTTTGAGTCCCCAGCACAAGTAATAAAGGAAGGCTTTGCCTGGAGAAGAGAGGAGCCATGGGGCCCCGGGGGCCTGCAGTATCCCTGTGCCACGAGTGGTGTAGGTTCTTCTGCCTTGAGCAGTTTAGGTCAAGGCATCGAATAGAAGGGCTGTAGCCTATGAGAAGGAGCCAGGGGACTTGGGGAGAGCTAAACCAAAGGACTGGTCTAAGTGGGTGAAAGGGATCCTGGGCTGGAGGCCGCCTCCCCTCCACTTATCTCTGCCCATAAGACCCACAGGCAGAGCGGCAGGCCACTTAGCATCTCTTTCTCTCCACCTCTACCTCAGGAGAACGCCTTCTGCACACTCTTGCGTGTACATGGCTGTACCAGAAGACCAGACCACAGAGAACATAATGCCAAGCCCTTGCCACCAGGTCTGGGGCCTCAGCTGGCTCTGGGCAACTCCTGCACTCGGTTATTTTGTGACCTCCAGATTTGGCAGCCTTGGAATTAGAGTCCCCTGGGTGCCAGAGATGCCTAGTGCTGCCACCCAGCCCTGCTCTGCTCCTAGAACGCCTGTCACTGCGGCGTAGGCACCATTCCCTAGCCTGTGAGTCGGGTTGCTGTAGGGTTAAATGGGGCCTAGAGCCCCCAGTAATGATACAGTGTAGAGAGTCTCCTGCCAGGACGAACTGACAATTTTTAAGCCCCTACCCTCTGCCCTCCAAGAGCACCGACTCTGGGAAAGCCCCCTTTGATAGCCAGAACGGGCTCCAGTGAAAACAGTGTTTCTGGAGGAGGAGGAGGAGGAGGAGGCCGGCGACCTGGGACAGGCTTAGCTTACATCTTGTATGTTTGACATTAGGGGTGTCTCCTTGTTGGAGGGGATCCCAGTTCGGATGGTTAACTGGATGATTTCTCTCACAATAGGGAACCAGACCCATGCTCCTGCACCCTCAGGCAGGGAGGGCCTGTAGTTGGTGGTCACTCTTTTGTCTACATGGGAAGTAGGCCCTGTGCACCATTCTCTTGAGGTCGCAGGAGTGTGGGTGACAACTGGGCTTCTGAGGAAAGCCACGCTATCTCATCTTGTGTCTCTTTAAAGTACGAGTGAGATGAAGGAACTGAGATTTGGGACACATTAGGGGGTAGCAGACCCAGGCCTCAGTACTCAGCCCAAGTTCTTCATGGTTGCCGTTACTCTCACCTGCTCAAAACTCAGTCTGTAGCTGAGGATGATTTTGAATGGCCAGCCCTAGCTTACCTACTGAGTGCATATTCCAGGCCTGTGCCGGTACATCCGGCTTCCAGTGCTGGGTTCCAAGCACAACTTTGCCATAGATGACCAGTCCCTCCTCCCCAAGGGTCCTACCTCTGGGAAAGTCTAGAAAGTTTGCTGAGTGTAGTGTTTGCTCAAAGCCATCACACGCTCGGGCTCCCGCCCGGTGCTGTGTCTGGGATGGGCCGGTATGGCGGGCAGCGACATCTCAGTATATTCAGGAAAGTCAGCAGTGGCCGTGGCCATTGGACTGTGATGAACCCAGGAGGACACCTCTGCAGGCTCCATGCCGACAGAGCCCCTGTCTTGTTAACCTTCTCTCTACCACGAGGCCTGCCACCCAGCTGGGATGTGGCAATGTTCTTTCTCACGAGTTCACTGTTCCTAACAGGTGTCCACAATCACCAAAGCTTTGCTGAATTTGGGGCCCAGGGATGGAACTTTTTTTTTTTTTTTCTTCAGCCGTCTTCTTTCTGGGGATCTAGGACAATAAAGCTGTTGTTCAACACTCTTCCTTAGGGCTTTGTAATTAACTAAGATCCTGGTCCTGCATTATGCTCTTCGGGAATCTGCGCCTTTCTTGTGTGTTTTCATTCCCAGTGTTTAGATGGGGAAACTGAGGCACAGAAGTGACCTTCTGTAATCCTTTAGAAGTGGCCGATGTGGGAAATCCCTAGTCAAATGCAGCTGGGCATGCAGTAGAGGGTGTCCAGAGCTGAGTTTACCCCCTGGAGAGTTCCACACGAATGGACCCTGAAGACCCGCCCCCCCCCGNCCCCCCCCCCCCCCCCCCCCCGCAGGAGTCCAATTGACCCCTTCCACCAAAGCCCTGCTCTGAGCTTTAATGGTCCAAGCTTTCGTGTGTATTGCAAGGAGGCCGATTCCTGTCTGGGGTATTTTTAGCAGCCTCAGGAAGAGGAAGCTCCATTGAGTGCTGGGGGGCAGGGCAGCACCAGGCCTGGACTGATTTCCTGAGGAAGGACTGCCCACCAGCCCTGTGCCTGGCCCTGTCACCCCACTAGTGTCACCCCTCTTCTGGAGTGTGTCAGGAACCGAGCCAGGAGGAGGCACCCACAGCACAAACCTGGAGAAGCCAGCATGGGCCTGAGAGCCCGCAGATGGGGCCAGGAGAGCCATACTGGGAAGGGGCACCAGAGCAGGGGTCCCTTTGTGCAAAGGTGGGGCTCATGGTACTTGTGGAGCCAGAGGAAGGAGGATGGCTTTGCTGGTTTCACAGCTGGACAGGGGTACAGTGGTTATTATTTATGAGAATCTGTTAGATTACAGAACGTGATATGAACCTGGGATCCAGTTTTAACAGTCAAGTCAGACAGTGGTCTCACAAGCGTTCGCCATCGGATCTGACGCGCAACTCCCGTGCCAGCTAAAGCTATCTTTATATCAGTGTGTTTAGATATCTGTGCATATGGCATTTAGTTAATTAAGAAAAACAATGGCTCCTATGATAGACTGTTTAGCGTTAGGGCTGACCGGCAGTAGCCCTTATTTGGAGCCTAATCTATTTTTATCTGCCGTATTGTTTTTAATACGTGTGTGTGTGTGTGTGTGTGTGTGTGTGTGTTCCTCATTCATGCAGCCCTGCCATCGCTAATAGCAACAATTGTTTAACACCTCAGTACATCCCAGGGTCTGTGCAGAATTAATTACCCCAGCCGCAGCACAGCCATGGGACTCTTGATGTGTTTTAGTATGTGGCACATTATATTTTGAGTAGGTAGGGCTTTTTTTTAAAATCAGTTTTTAAAATAATAGAGTAATTAATTTTTAAAACAGAAGGGCTGGGGCTATGGCGCAGTAGAAGAGGGCTTGCTTAGCATGCTCAAAGTCCCGGGTCCAATCCCCAGCTCTGCAAAAAAAAAGAAAATTAAAAAGCTGTTCAAGCCGGGCAGTGGTGGCCTTTAATCCCAGCACTCGGGAGGCAGAGGCAGGCGGATCTCTGAGTTCGGGGCCTGCCTGGTCTACAAGAGCTAGTTCCGGGACAGGCACCAAAGCTACAGAGAAACCCTGTCTCGAAAAACCAAAAACAAACAAACAAACAAAAAAAACTGTTCAACTTAATTCATAAATCACTAGGCTTGGAGACACACGTATATAATTTCAGCCCTCGGGAGGCTCAGGCTCTCAGGTAGCTGATTCCAGGCTAGCCTCAGCTACACACTGAGATCCTGTCTCAGAGGAAGTACAGTCATAGCTGTGCATTTTGGAACAGATTTCTGAGGGCCCTGTGAAGAATCTATAAGACATAGCTTAAGAACAGTTGAACATGGGCTGGGGAATGGCTCTGTGGTCAAAGTGCTTGCTGCACAAACCCCAGCTCCCAATTAAAAACTACAGGTGTGCCCAGCACTCGGGAGGGAGAGGCAGTCAGATCTCTGAGTTCGAGGCCAGCCTGGTCTACAGAGTGAGTTCCAGGACAGGCTCCAAAACTACACAGAAAAACCCTGTCTCAGGTGTGTGTGTGGGGGGGGGGGGGATTCCAAGAATCTAAGTGTGGCAGCACATACCTGTAACCCCCAAGCTGGAAGGGTTTGCTGGCCAGGTAGACCCATTAATTGATAAACCCTGGCATCATTGGGCTTCATGAGGGTGCACACATGACACATGCATCCACGGGGGGGTTGTTGAAACGCAGAACAGCCGAGTGTGGAGACACATTTGTCATCCTCGTACTTGGGAGGCTGAGGCAAGAGGATAATGAGTTTGAGGCCAACTCCAACTCCTCCCTGTTTTACAGATAGAAAGACTCAGGAGGGGATGGCTGGACAAACAGAAGTTGTCACTGCTCCCCGCAATTACACACATATCCCATTCTCAAGGCAGGGGTCACATGACATCAGAGCCATACACACCCCAAATTAGCTGGGCCCTTGTCCTCACTGAGTCTGTTGCCCCCTCAGCACGGATCTCGCAGTATTAACATGCTCTTTTCCTCCCACAGAAATGCCCTCCTAGCTGGCCGCCACAGGATGGAGGGCTTCATGGACTCAGGGACACAGACGGACGCTGTGGTGGTGCTGTCCTTGGCTCAGGCTGCCGTGCTGGGCCTGGTCTCAGAGAATGAGCTCTTTGGAGCCACCATAAGTGCTGAGGCCTTCTATCCAGACCTAGGGCCAGAACTGTCTGGGACAGCCGTGGGGGAGCCGGGACCACCAGGGCCCGACATCTATCAGCTGGCCTGTAATGGGCGAGCCCTGGAAGAGCCCCCGGAAGAGGAGGTGCTGGAGGTAGAGGCAGCCTTTGAGAAGCACACCCGGAGGAAGACGCGGCCCCCTGTGCGGCTGGTACCCAAGGTCAAGTTTGAGAAAGCGGAAGAGGAAGAGGAACAGGAAGTGTATGAGGTATCTGTGCCTGGTGATGACAAGGACCCAAGCCCTGCAGAAGCTCCTGCCGAGGTGGCCGGTGGCGGCTGCGAGGCCCTGGTGCAGAGCAGTGCCGTCAAGATGATCGACCTCAGCGCCTTCAGCCGCAAACCCCGGACGCTCCGGCACTTGCCTCGAACTCCGAGGCCAGAGTTGGACATGGCTCTCTTCGATCCTCCTTTCCCCAACCCAACCCGGGACTGCTTCCCCGAGCCCAGCATGGCACTACCTGGACCAGAGACTTTGCCCACCGAATGTGGTTTTGAGCCGCCCCACCTGGCCCCGCTGAGCAATCCTGACCCTCCCCCCATGACATCGCCGGAACTCGTCAAACCAGAGCAGGGCTTCGTGTGGCAGGAGCCCAGTGAGTTCGAGGCCGACCCGGCAGGTTCCACGGTGGAGCGGCACAAGAAGGCACAGCTGGACCGGCTGGACATCAACGTGCAGATTGATGACTCTTACCTGGTGGAAGCGGGTGACCGCCAGAAACGCTGGCAGTGCCGCATGTGCGAGAAGTCCTACACGTCCAAGTACAATCTGGTGACGCACATCCTGGGCCACAACGGCATCAAGCCGCACTCGTGCCCGCACTGCAGCAAGCTCTTCAAGCAACCCAGCCACCTGCAGACGCACCTGCTGACGCACCAGGGCACGCGGCCCCACAAGTGCCAGGTGTGCCACAAGGCTTTCACTCAGACCAGCCACCTCAAGCGCCACATGCTGCTGCACTCCGAGGTCAAGCCCTACAGCTGCCACTTCTGCGGCCGCGGCTTCGCCTACCCCAGCGAGCTCAAGGCCCACGAGGTGAAGCACGAGAGTGGCCGCTGCCACGTCTGTGTGGAGTGCGGCCTAGACTTCTCCACCCTGACCCAACTCAAGCGCCACCTGGCCTCCCACCAGGGCCCTACCCTCTACCAGTGCCTCGAGTGTGACAAGTCCTTCCACTACCGCAGCCAGCTACAGAACCACATGCTCAAGCACCAGAACGTGCGGCCCTTTGTGTGCACGGAATGCGGCATGGAGTTCAGCCAGATCCATCACCTCAAGCAGCATTCCCTCACCCACAAGGTAAGGCTACCAGCCTCCGCTGTTCCACCTGTCCCGCCCTCTCCGGCACCCCAAGGTCCCGGATGGGATTTACACGGGTAAACTTTTTTTTAGGTGTACTTACATTTATTTTATCTGTTGAGTGTTTTGCCTACATGTATGTCTTTGAACCACAGCGTACGCCTGATGCCCATGGAGGCCGGAAGAAGGCATCAGATCTCCTGGGCCTGGAGTTACAGGTGGTGGTGAGCTGCCATAGGGTGCTGGGAATCTAACCTGGGTGCTCCTTAACCACCGAGCCACCTCTCCGGCCCAGACTTTACTTAATTTCATACTTAGAGATTTATCTTAGTAGACTATTGGAAACATAATTAAACTGAGTTTTTGAGAAAAACTAATCTTTAAAATGTTCTTGAGGCCTGGGGAGTTGGTTCAGTGGGTAAAGTGCTTGCCGGCCCCTGTCGATCCTCCTCTTGCTGTGTTCAGGTTGCCAGCACACCCATAAAAGCTAGGTATGGCAGTGTGCATCGCCCCACCAGTGAAGAGAGAAAACGGGTGGGTGCCCTCGGCTCAGCCAGCTGGCGTAGTGAAAACGGTTCAGTGAGGTCAAAGAATCAGGCGGAGGAGCAATTGGAGGAAGACACCTGTGCTTGCACCTGGGCAATTGCACGTACACACACACACACACACACACACACACCGCAGAGAAGAGGAACGTAAAAGATTTTGGTGTGCAGTGCTTGTGGAACTCCCGCAGGGCTCAAGGGTCCCTCCCTGTTTCCCAGGACTGAGTGCAGGCAGGTGAATGCCACGACCAGAAATGCAGAAGGTAGCTTGGAGTTCTTGTTATCACAAAAGTCTAACAAAACCTTCAACTTCCCTTTAGGAAAAGGCAAAATATATATGTCTTTCTTTCTAGTTCTTCTTCCTGGTGCCAGGTCACCGGTTTTCTTCCCCCTGCCTCTCAGCCATCACCGACCTCCCCCAAGATGCCCTTACACCCTGGAAGGTAGAATGGAATCTCTTAGGCCTAACCGTCCCGTGCTGGCACTTGGCTGACCCACGGTTTCCTTCAAACTTCAGCCAACTTAACCTTTCAAAGCTAGGAGTAGCCCTTCCTCTGTACGGTGACCTGTGGTGGCAGATGTGGAGCCTGGACTTCTCCATCCCCCAGAACTTTTCTGCTAGGGCAGGGAGCATTGGCAGGTTCCACTGCAGAGGCTTGGCCGCAGTAGTAGCAGCTGCTGATATAATATTATAATGTTAAGGGTTCTGACACTGAGTCCGGGCTCATCAGCAAGACTCTAATTGATTATTAATGTCTGCGAGGGTGGGCGTGAAGGATGATGTGTGCGCCGTGCGTGTATCTGCCATCTTTCTCCTCTGCTCAGAGACTTCAACCCTTACCTACTGATGTGCCGAGAGATAAAGGGTTGTGACGAAAGCTGAAACTATCTGTGTCAGTGTCTTAATTTGTCCCTCTCTCCACCCCACTCCACACGTCTGTGCTTGTAACTCTTGAATGGGGCCCCCTGGTGGTCATGTGGCCTACCACTGTCACACCTGGCTCCGCTAAAGTATCATAAGTACCCCGGGTTCAGTCACCAGCACATATGACCGAAAACACATAATACCGAAGTTTTCTGTTAGATAGTTGGGACAGCCGCTGTGACCGTCGACGTGCCTCTGTCCCAGTGAAGTTCTCTTCCTGCTCTCCCAGCGTTCCCTGTGCTGAGTGAGCGTCAGCTCCGGGCTATAAAGAGGCCTGCTACAGCTCAGACCAGACAGTTTTCTCTGGAGCCAGTGTCTCCATGATAAGAATCACCTGGGGTGGGGAACTAATGCAACTAAAAACTCCTGGGCCATCCCAGACCTCACTGGATGAGCCTCTTCAGGGTGGGGCTTCAGGCTCTCCGCTGGGGAGCTGCTCCGGAGCGCTGGGAAAACACACCTTCAAGGGTGCTGTGGAAGAGTAGGGAGCTTGAGTTTTATGCAGAGCTGAGCCTTAGCCGTTTTTCCTTGGGGTGCACAAAGGTTTTCTTTCTTTTCTCCTTTTTCTCCCAAGTGTTGGTGATTAACCCAGGACATAATCTTTGGTAGATGAGTGCGCTACTCCCAGCCCCGCTCCCCAACACACAACAGAGTCTCACTATGTATCCCTGGCTGGTCTCAAACTTAGAGATCTGTCTGCTTCTGTGCCCTTTTGTATATTTACTTTTACATATTTTTATATTTACTTTTATTTATTTATATATATTTATAGATATAATATAAATACTTATATATTTTTTATGTTTACTCACATACTGACTTTTCCATGTAGGGGTGTTTTGCTTGCATGTATGTATTGTATGTATGTATACCACATTACATGGAGGCCAGAAAGGGTGACAGAACTGGAACTGGAGTGACAAGGCTGTGAGCCACCACGTGGGTTCTGAGAACGGAACTCAGGACCTCTGGAAGATCAGCAAGTGCTCTTAATCACTGAGCCATCTCTCCAGCCCCACCACACCCCCCTGGCTCTTACTGATAAATTGTCTCTGTTGGCCTTGAATTTGCCTAGCCTACCTTTGGGCTTTCCACCCTGCGGTCTCAATCTCCGCTGAGTATCTGGGGATTCGCAGGCCTGTGCCACCGTGACGGGCAGCTTTTTCTTGTTCACTTCTCCCTACTCCTACCAACTTTTTGTTATTTTATAGACAGGTTCTCACTGCATAGTCCTGACTTGCCTCACACTAGCTCCTCCTGCTTCTGCTTTAGCCTCAGGGGCTCAAACCTAGGACACCTTGTACATGCTAGGAAGACTCTCCTCCGCTGAGCTCTGTCCCCAGAAACACAGCTTCAATCGTGTTTCCAAAGGGTTTGTCCCCCAAGAGATGTAACTGAAGATAAATAAACACCCCCCCCCCCCCCCCCCCCGCCCCTCTGCAGACAGGTTTTCTCTGTAGCTTTGGAGCCTGTCCTGGAACTCGCTCTCTAGACCAGGCTGGCCTCAAACTCAGAGATCCACCCGCCTCTGCCTCCTTAAGTGCTGGATTAAAGGCGTGCGCCACCATCGCCTGGCTGCACATCCTTGGTTGTCCGGACAAAGGCATTGCCCTGCTTACCACAGGCCTGTGGTGCTGGCTTCTAGCGGGTACACATGCCTGTTTGCTGGATGAATGAACTGAGAGGTGGGTGGACGGATGGATGGATGGATGGGTAGGCAGACCCCCTTATATCTCTGCACACTGGTACAGCTGACCTGCTTACACACCTACCTGGCAGGCAGGGATGGGAAGGCACACTGTTTGTGTCTGCCTTGTCCTGGGAGGCATCCTGGAACAACAGCCCTGCCATACCCCAGAGCTGGCTGGCAGAATAGCTCAGCAGGTATAGGTGCTTGCCCCCAGCTTGATAACAGGAGCCCACTGCTCAGAACCCACTTAGTGTAAGAAGAGACCCAAGTTCTGAAAGTGGTACACACACACACACACACACGTACACACACATGCTTTTTTTGTGAAAAGGAATTCCCTAATGCCACACCTGTTAGTGCCCCAACCCTGAGTGGTGCCTCTGCCTCCCCAGGGCGTGAAGGAGTTCAAGTGTGAGGTGTGTGGCCGAGAGTTCACCCTGCAGGCCAACATGAAGCGCCACATGCTGATCCACACCAGCGTCCGGCCCTACCAGTGCCACATCTGCTTCAAGACCTTTGTGCAGAAGCAGACGCTCAAGACCCACATGATTGTGCACTCGCCCGTGAAGCCATTCAAGTGCAAGGTACGGGACTGTCCCCATGGCCGGTCCTTGCCCGGGCTTGGAGGGGTCGGAGGGGTCGAGGAGGGCAGGTGGGGATCAGAGGGCGTGAAGGGTGCCGTGAGGTGAGCGCAGGGCAGGCAGGAGATGCAAGGAGCAGCGGTCCTTTGCCTCCCTCTGGTCACACAGGGAAGGACAGTGTGCTGTGTGTGTGCTCAGGAAGTAGGAGGAGATTGGCCAGGATGGCAAGCTCCCCACAACCCTCTGCTGCCTTCCCCCGTTCCAGGTGTGTGGGAAGTCCTTCAACCGCATGTACAACCTGCTGGGCCATATGCACCTGCACGCAGGCAGCAAGCCATTCAAGTGCCCCTACTGCTCCAGCAAGTTCAACCTCAAGGGAAACCTGAGCCGGCACATGAAGGTCAAGCACGGCGTCATGGACATCAGCCTGGACAGCCAAGGTGGGTGGGCTGTGCGCAGTGGACAGAACAGGAGTGACAGCGGCCTGGCGCACTCAGGAGTCTCCTGTCCAGTTAGGGGCGTAGGGAGGCTGGCCAAGGCCGAAACTTCACTGAGGTGGGCTCAGGTCTGGAGAGAGGGAGAGCCTGGGGAGCCGTCGTGGCAATAACGGGGTATTTATGTCGTCTTCCAAGGACTTCCATGGGCTCACTAAAACAATAATAAAAAGCATAACTTACACATGTTGAGTGCTGTGTAACTCATGTGACCCTCAGAGGGAGCCTGGCTCTGCCATCACTCCTGTAACAGAAACCGCAGGGCAGAGAGCAGGCAACTCGATGACAACCCACAAGAGCCATGGGTGAGCTGTCTCTCCCATGATTCCAAATAAACGGATGGGGAAGGGACAAAAGGGGAAACTGAGGTCACACCTCCCAGTGCACATGGGAATTCAGACATTCAGAGAGGTTAGGGCAATCAACCAGCCACAGTGCCTGCTGGAAAGAGTGAGAGCCACATACTCAGGAGAGGGACAGGTAGCCCTGCCGTTGACCTTTACCAGAGGGAAACATAAAAGAAATAAGTAATGTAAGAAAAAGAATTAAAATAGAAGCCAAGGTCTAAGAGGGCTGGGTGTGGTGTGGTACACACTCACAATTCTAGCACTCAGGAAACTGAGGCAGGAAGACTGTCGTTCAAAGGGCAGCATGAGGCTAGGTGCAGTTGCACATACCTGTAGTGTAAGCACTTGGGATACTTACTGCCTGAGGCAGGAGGATTACCACAAGTTTGAGGTCAAGCCAGACCACAAATATAAGACCTTGGTCTCTCAAAAAGAAACTGAAAACCAAAAGGAAAATCAGTTTCCAGAGAATCCTGTATCTTGGCAACTGGTAGAGATCTCAAGTTGTTATGAGACACCCCCACTTCTGTCCAGTCACAGCAGAGCTGACCGTTGGTCTCCAGCTCCATTGTGGGAAGGAGGCAGCTGAAGGTGCATCCCAGAGGCTCCTCCCAAGGAGGTCTCTCCAGGCAGTGTCTTGGCAACGCCAGAGGAGTTGACTAGCCATTCCCAATTCATTTTTTAAAGATTTATTTATTATATATATATATATACTGTATTCTGCCCCAGATCTTATTACAGATGGTGTGAGCCACCATGTGGCTGCTGGGAATTGAACTCAGGACCTTCGGAAGAACAGGCAGTGCTCCTAACCTCTGAGCCATCTCTCCAGCCCCATTCCCAATTCATTACGAATGACTAGTGACTTTGGTTTTGGAGCATCTGGCCCGTAAATGGCCTGGAGTTCCTGGCAAAGCAGGCGACACTGGCTTGTTGAAGGTAGTTTTCTGATAGTTTCTCCAAGTCTGTGTTGGTAGATAAGGAACCCTATAGCCTGCATTGGAGGCTCTCTGTAGTCCGTGATACTCATGGTCTGGAGTAGACATGCCAGCTTCACCCTGCCCCAGACTCTGCATTACCAAAGGCTCTCTGTTCCTTGTTTAATGTGCCTCCTCAGAATCTCCCCAAAACTGGCTTAAATGGCTGAGCTTCCAGCAGTTTCTTGGATGGGGCTAGGGGATCGCATTTCCAACAGACCCCCTTTGATGTAGCCCTTACAGGATGATGTCTCATTGGCTGCCCGTGGGAGCAACTTGAGGATTTCCTTTAACGTTTAATTTTATGTGTCTGGGTGTTCTGACTCCATGTGTGTCTGTGTACCACGTGCTTGCCTAGTGGAGGTCAGGAGAGGCCATCAGATCTGATGGAACTGGAGTTAACAGTTGTGAGCCACCGCGTGGGTGCTGGCAGTCAATCTTGGGGCCTCTGGGAGAATAGCGCTAAACATTGAGCCATCTCTCTGGCACATTGGAAGATGGCTGAGTCTGGACTCCAGAGGTGCCCGGCTGGGGTCTGGATTTGAAGCATGTTGGATTGTTCCCTGTGCATTATATTGAGAGCTCTACTACAGTGGACTTCCCTTGTGGCTACTCCCCAGCAGAGACCAAGCCAACCTTGCCCTTTTGCAAATGACCAGAGCCATCAAATCTCGTTCCTCACTTCCAGGAATGCTTAGCATTGGTCCTTCCCTGACTGTACAGATGAGTGAAGTGGCCATGGGTCCTGGCCGTCGACTGGATACCCACACAGCTCTGCTCTGAAGCTGGAATAGGTAGCTTCTTTCTAAGTGAACGGCCTCACAGACTTGGTTGTGATTTAGGGAGGAGGGCCAGTGCGCATGCCCTGATGAGGCTGGCCTACACCAGTAATCCCAGCACAGGGACACAGACTGGGAGTTCAGCACAATCCTCAACTATGTACTGAGTTCAAGACCAGCTGGACATGATGGCAATAGAGCGGGGTCATGGACGCCTGGCTTGTTTAATAGCCAGTGGCAGAATATGATGATATGGTTGTAGGCTTTGGAGGGAAAACCACCTAGGCTAGGCTTGCTGGGACACTTAACCTTGTTTACAAGGTCAGGAGGATTCTGTGTGTTCCACCCAGCAACTCCACAGTTTGAAGGAGTTGGAGGTAGCTCAGCTGGTAGTGTTTGCTTAGCAGGCACAAGGCCCTGGGTTTGATCCCAGCAACCCACATGCCAGGTGCACCACTCTGATCTCAGTGTTCTGGAGAACCAGAAGTTCAAGATCCTCCTTGACCATGTAATGAGTTTGAGGACAGTCTGTCTGGGCTACATGAGATTTAGTCAAAAGAAAGAAAGAAAGCTGTACATGGTGGAGAACATCTTTAATCCCAAGCATCAGGGAGGCAGAGATAGGCAGTCATTTGAATTAAGGCCAACCTGGTCACGTAATACATTCCAGGATAGCCAGGGCTTTATATAAAAGGGCAGAGAGGACATCTTTAAAAGTGGGTAGTAGATCAACCCCTCGACAATGACATCAGGGTTAGGCTACCTCTGTGAGACCCCACAGCCCCAACATTTTCTCCTGGACTCAAGATGACCCCCAGAAGCCACCAGAACACTGAGCTTCCAGGCACATCCAGGAAAAGAATGAAAGCTGTCTCCCTTTCCTACAGCCAATGACTTGCCCATAGGCCATTTCCTTCTGACCCAGCGGTCATATTTAGGTTACATGCCAGTTCCAAGCCACTCACTGGCAGATGTGGGGTGAGTTTGATTCCCCTGAGTGACATTTGGCTGTCATAACTAGGAAAATGCTCCTGGCATCTGATAGGTAGAATATAGGGTACTATGACATCCTGTGGGACAGGTGGCAAAGGATCCCGGATGGAAGTAATGTCAAGGTTAGGAAGCCCATCTTGGACCTATCAGGTTAAACCTTGGGCTGGGTCTGTGTCCGGGCAGAATGCACTTTGCCCGTGAGCCTCAGTCCCTGCCAGCCAGTCTCTTAGGACTACCAGTTCATACCAATCCATATCCCCTCAGGAGGAGCTCTGGCTTTGCTGCCACAGCAAGCTTTATAGTAAGATTATTTCAATTTGACAGAATTACAAGGGACCTCTCGGGCAGTCTTCTGTCTCCGGAGGTGCTTTGACAACCTACCTTGGCTGAGAACCCAGGCCCAGGGTGGGGCAGGCTTGGTACACTAACTGTGGAGAAACAGCACCCTGAAGTAGAGCTTTGCAAGGTCACAGGACTACTTGACGGATGACAAACGAGGCTGCAGGCTGACACTGGATGAAATGAAATCTGGGAAGCACTAGGCAGTGAGCACTAAACGAGTCACATAGGAAGGGGACCAATGACAGACATCGTGGAGAATGACCCAGGAAGGCTTAGTGACCCAGCAGGGGTGAGGGAATATAAGCCAGAAGTCAAGGCCAAACCAAGGATCTGTTCTGCCCGAGGCCCTCACACCCAGTGGCAGGGTCCATACAAGCGTCTGAATGAGAAGACTGAGAAAGCATGGCTGGACTTTAAGGTCTCCCCCCCCCCCCCCCCCCCCCCCCCCCCCCCCCCCCCCCCCGCTTCCCGAAAGACACTGAGGATGGCCAGTGTTTAGGCCTAACTGTGCCCCTCTCTTGTAGACCCCATGATGGAGCTGGCAGGCCCCGACCCCTCTGAACTTGACAGCCAACAGGAGATGGAGGACTTCGAGGAAAACGCCTACACCTACACCAGTGTGGACACCAGCACGGAGGCCAGCGCCCTCACTGAGCAGGCCATGAAAGAAATGGCCTACTACAATGTGCTATAGCAGGCCCGCTGAGTGGGCGGGGAGGGCACAGGGTGAGACCCACGTCCTGAGGCCTGCACCTCTGCAGCCCAGAACCAAGCTACTGCCGGCTGCCCGCCCCCACCCCCCGCCCCCACCCCCAGTCATTTGCACCACTAGGGACCTTTAGACCAAATGGAGACTGTACTACTGTCCTTGCAGGGAGCTGGGCGCAGACCTAGGCATCCCCGTGAGGGAAAGGTAACCAGGAGACCCAGCTCTGGTTCTCCTTGGCCTGCTGCTGTGGGTGGGTAGGGGAAATGCTAGTGAGGTCTCTTACAGGCATGGGGGCACAGACTTAGGTGTCTTCTCCAAGCTGACTCAGGCCCATGGGGGTGCCTGAGGAAGAGAATGCTTGAGCCAGGTCTCCTCTCTCTTCTATACCGACTCTGGCCTTTAAGGACATCTGAGCTCCTACACTGGTCAGCACTGCCCACCCCAATCCTGCTCAGACCCAAGAACCTCTTCCCTTCCCCTGTCACTCAACAGCCAGGCAGGGCACTCTGCCTTCTACCTCCTGAGCCTCCCCTTGCTCCATCCAGACATGCATGCGGCCCTCCCTGGCCCTGCCTGTAGGAGAGCCGGGGAGCCCAGCCTCCAGAGCCCCCTCCCAGCCAGCCAGCAGAGCACGCTCATCCTCAGCCCTGTTGGGAAGAACGTCCCCAATGTGCATTTCGGTGAACTTCATCCAGTTCTGTCCTCACCAAACAAAATCAGGACGCGTCTTGTGTCTGGCATACATTAACAAGGACAGGTTGAGCCAAGGGGAAGAGCAGGGTGACATCCCTGGGACCAAGAGGAGGACTAGAACTGTTTGTTTTTATGAGCGAGCAGGTATTGTAAGGAGTGGGTGAGTTGAGGCTCAGCAAGCTCCCAGGGAAGGGCATATCTAAAAAGGAAATTGAAAACCATAGACGGGGGGAGGGGAGGATTCAGTTTTGGGCAAGTGAGGATATTTTAAAGGTAATTTTCCAACTCTCTTGTCTGTCATCTTTGATGGAGCAATGGAGAGGCAAGCCGAAACTTTCCTGTGTGCTGTGCACTCCCAGCTTCCCTAAAGCAGCCAGGCATGGTGTACTTGGGCCCAGGAGGGACCCATGATCTGTGTGACCCATGCCCTGGCCCTAGGAGGTGTGTCACTAGCTGTGGGGGCCTCAGATGGCTAAAGCAGGAGGGAAGGAGTCAGAGAGCCTACCAGGCCCTCTCCAGCCAGTGGCTCCGCCATCCAGGGAACCAAGGTCTCTGACCCCTCTCACCTGCCCACTCTCCTCCCCTCTACCTTCCAGGTAGTGACAAACACATTCAGAAACTCCAGAGCACCCTAACCCTGCCCATAAATCCCAAGGCCCCTCAGGGGAGGAGCAGGCAGGGCCAACCCCGAAAAGGCACAGATGAAGCCACCAGCTTTGGCTGAAAAACCAAGAGGGGGACCCAGCTGGGGTGGAAGGTGCTGATCTCAAGTGCGACTGCCCCCAAGCCTGTGTCCCTAAGTGAGACACCAAGCCAGGCCTCAGGGTAACTGTTCCAAACCGGGGGCAAGGTGGACACACTGGCCCATGTGTGGTTTCCCAAGGCTCCCCAGCCTCCCAGGTGCCCGCCATGATGACCCTCAGGTGTCAGTGATTCGGCATCACTGTACAAGACATTTCTCCTGCTGAGCAGAAGGCATCACCCCTGCAAACTACCTCTTCCCACAATGACTTTCTCCCCTGGTACCAAAAAGCACCCTGTACCTCCTCCTCCTGCCAGTGCGGTGGCCTTGGTCTTGGAAACGGAAGGGAGAAGTCTGGCCTGGGTGGGGTCTCTCATTGCCTCCCAGCCCGCCATTGGCACAACCCTCTGAGGGGTACCATGCTCAGAAAACCCCCGGCCCTACGCCTTGTGCCTGGGCCATGCAGAGAGGAAGGTACTACACAGCGCACAGTTGGAGCTGGCGGCGGTCCTGGCAAGGCTCCGGCCTCACCTCTCCCGGCCTTCTGGAAAGGATAGCTCAAGCCCTGGTCGGATTCCACTCTGACTTGTTGACATGTACACAAACCAACTGTTTAGACAACACTTGTGCAGAGCCCTACTGTGTTTATGTTCCTGTTTAAAAGAGAAGTTTACTTAGCAATAATTATAAATAAATGGATATTCTTTAGCGAGGCGACTGTACATGCTTCTTCCCACTGCTCTTTTTTTTTTTTTTTTTTTTTTTTTTAATTTCGAGACAGGCTTTCTCTGTAGCTTTTGGTTCCTGTTCTGGAACTAGCTCTTCCAGACCAGGCTGGCCTCGAACTCACAGAGATCCGCCTGCCTCTGCCTCCCGAGTGCTGGGATTAAAGGCACCACCACCGCCCGGCCTTCCCACTGCTCTTGGTGGCCCTTCTCCCCACAAAGGTCCCAGCAAGGCTCCCCAGGCACATACCAGACAGCCTCCCTCTCTGGAAGTGCAAGACTATCCCAGCCACCTGACCTGCCATGCACTTAGGGCGACACGCTCCACGCCCCAAGGGTGGGGTTATTGAGGGTTTTGTTTGAGACAAGGTCTCTGTACCCCAAATCTACCCATGGAGAGCTGTGATTACAGATGTGTACCCCTACACCCGGCTTCTTTTCCACTGCTGTTGTTACAGTATTGAGAGGCTTTGAAACAGGGTCTCACCGTCTATCCCTGGCTGGCCTAAAATGCAACTGTCTTCCTGCCTCAGTTTCCCAAACCAAGATTATAAGTATGTGTGTGCACCTGACCTGTTCAGAGTTTTTGTTTTGCTTTTGATTTTTGAGACAGGCTCTTCAAATTTGTGGTGTTCTTTCAACAAGTTCTGGGATTTCAGGCATGCACTGACATAGCTGGTTTTGGGGGTTTTTATTCCCCCCAAATATCCCCACTCTGGGCAAACATAAAACCTGTGGCTAGGGCTGGAGAAATGGGTGATCAGTTAAGAGTACTTGCTGCTCTTCCAGAGGATCCAGGTTCAATTCCCACCACCCACATGGCAGCTCACAACTGTCTCTAACTCCAGTTCCAGGGGATCCAGTGTCCTGCGTGCACATGGCACACAGACATACGTGCAGGGAAAAATGTCCATACACATAAAAGGGTTTTAAAGCCCGTGGCTAGGGCTGCGAAGGAGGCTTGGCTGGTAGAGCTTCTGCTGGCCCTGGATCCCCAGCACAGCACAGAGTTTTGTGGCATGACCCAGCATTCAAGAGGTGGAGGCTAAGAAGTTCAAGGTCATGTAAGAAATTTGAGGCTAGTCTAGGATGCATAAGACCAATTTAAAAAAAAAAAAAAAGAGGCAGCTGAGATACAACTTAGTGGTCTTTTTTGTTTTGTTTTTGTTTTTCGAGACAGGCTTTCACTGTAACTTTGGGGCCTGTCCTGGAACTAGCTCTTGTAGACCAGGGTGGTCTCGAACTCACAGATATCTACCTGCCTCTGTATCCCGAGTGCTGGGATTAAAGGGGTGAGCCACCACCACCTGGCTCAGCTTAGTGATCTTAGTAATAAAATGCTGGCCTGGCTAAACTCAATTCCCAGCACTGCTAAAAAAAAAAAAAAAAAAAAAAAAAAGCTCTGGACACAAAGAACTAACTATATTATCAAAAGAAAGAAATCACTGCATGAGGACATGCTTGCCACTGAGTGTGCATATGGCTTTGGAACAGCTTTTCCCCCTTTTATAGTTGTGCCAAAGTGGTATGGATGAGGCTGAGATCAGGGGACCCCATATACACAAACCTCGGGAAGACCTCGGAAAGCCTGGGCAGCCATGCAAAGAAGGGCCTGGGAGGATCTGTGTTTTTAAGAGTGTAACAGCAAAATAAAATAAAAAAAAACCTAAGCCTTTAATCCCAACCCTCAGGAAGCAGAGGCAGGTCGACTGTTGGGAGTTCAAGACCAGCCTGATCCATATAGTGAGTTCCAAACAAGCCAGAGCTACACAGTGAGACCCTGTCTCAAATAGAAGACTAGGTCTGGGGATGCCCGCTTGGTCTACACGGACAAGAGGTGCCTATGTTAATAATAAATATTCAGAATATCACAGTGCTAATCCCTAGATGGAGAGAACTAGCTAGAAGGGATCCTGCTTGGCAATTCTGTGTGAGCCTTTGCCCCTAGGCCCCAGCCCCAGCTGCCTCCTGCTTAGAGAGGTGACAAAGACACCACGGACAGTTTTGTGAAGCACCCAGGGCCTTATCCCAAAAGTCTAGTAACTCTGGTTTCTGTAGAATGCATGAGGCCCACAGGCTGCCTCTTCTGAAAGGCGGCCTCCTAGCTGACCTATTAACAGCTGGAGGCACCCCAACCCTGTCCCTGGGGCATCCTGCCAGCTGCTTCCTCCCACTCAGGGACAAACACAGCAAGACAATTTGGCGAAGAGCTTTTTAGTAGCTAAATATGGCACCATGTGATTCAGCGCAATATAAATTACAGTATGCAAAACACACTGACTGGCTGAGGTAAGGCACACTGTTCCTGCCTCGTGTCCGCTGTGAGGGAGAAAAATGCTCACATACTTTAAAAAACATCTCCATCATAGAAAAAGAAAATGTCCCCTAGAAAGGCCACCAGAGAGAGAGGTTGTGAGGCTCACCCTCTACCATGTATGGAGTGCCCACTGCAGCTGGGCAGTGGCTGCCCCTACTGCTTGCCCAGAGCTCGGTCCAGGTTGCCCTTAATGGTGTCCAGGAAGTCCGTGGTGTTCAGGAAGTGTTCATTCAGCTTCACACTGCCAAGAGAACATCGGGGGGCGACTCAGGCCTCCTGAAGGCCATCAGTCAAGCCCTTCCAAGGCACTTTATCAGAATGGCTATCCTGCCACCAGGCCCAGGCCCAAAGAGTGGCAAGCCACTGACATGGGTCTTACAAGAGAAGCTGAGGGACAGTTTGAGAGACCAAAGAAACTGAGCAACTGCCAATGGGAACCAAGTCAGGCCTGGTCTAGGGAGGCTTATCTTGCCCCAGACCAGAGGCAGCTATACTGACGTGAGGGATCCTAAGTGGGGTCCCCTGGGTTCCTCCCACCTGCTCTGAGGTCTCAGACCCTGTATCCCAAAGCACACACTTGCTGAGGCCATGGATGCAGCCAGCCAGGTCCTTGGTCATGGCTCCACTCTCCACAGTCTCCACACACACCTTCTCCAGCGTCTGCGCGAACCTGCAAGGGATGTGGCGGTGAGGTCCCAGACAGGCGGGGCCAAACCGTGGGGCTGGACCAACTCAGGTTCTCCCCGCTTGCTCACCTGATGAGATCCGGGTTCCCATCCAGCTTCCCTCGATGCTCTAGACCCCTTGTCCAGGCAAAGATGCTGGCGATGGGGTTGGTACTGGTGGGTCGGCCCTGGGGACAGGCCACGGGGTCAACAGCTGAGTCCCAGATAGATACAGCTATCCACCTTTAGATTGACAGATCAGGCTCATCCTCCCAGCCACCAGGGCCAGTGGGCACCGGACTTTGAGATGCACACTCTTACCTTCTGGTGCTCTCGGTAATGGCGAGTGACCGTCCCATGAGCAGCCTCAGCCTCAATTGTCTTCCCATCAGGGCAGACGAGCACAGACGTCATCAGGCCGAGGGAGCCAAAGCCTAGGGGTGGGCAGATCTCTCCTCAGGACATGCGTCAGCTCAGAACCCTTCATCTTAGATGGAGCCCGCTTATCTTCTGACCCCAGCCCACTGCAGCTGAGAAGACAATATGGCCCTCACAGGTAGCTCTCACCAATGGGCTAACATAGGTCTGTGTGCGCCCATCCCAGACCCCACAGCCTGGCTGTCACTCTCACAGAAGGCCACTTCCAGCAGAAATGAGCAGCCAGCAGCTGTTTTGCAACCATCATGTTTTCTGCTGCTGTTAGGCCACTTTCAAACTTTGCAACGCATTTCCAAATGTCCCCAGATCCAGATTCCAGGTGGAATGCCTCTATTGTCAAGGACTCTGGGCAATCAAAAAACTCCCCCAGACCCACAAGGAATGAGAGGGCTCCAGGGAGAAAAAGTAGGCAACTTCCATACGCGAAAGATTCCGCTCAGATTTTGTCTTTAAGTTTATTTGGTTTTATTTTGTGTAGGGGACAGCGCACATGTGCCAGTCTAGAGGTCAGAGGGCAACCTGCAGGAGTCTGCCTTCTCCACTGTCTCAATTCCAGGGATCAAACTCAAGGTGTTAAGCTTGGTTGCAAGTACCTTTACCCACCGAGCCATCGCAAGAGCCCCTTTTCTGTCTTGTTTTATTTTGATATGGGTTTAGCCTGGAATTAACTGTGGAACCCAAATTGGGCTCAGGTTCTCAGCAATCTGCAAACTTCAGTGCTGTGACTGACTACAAGTATGGACCACTGACCGGGTGATGGTGGCGCACGCCTTTAATCCCAGCACTAGGGAGGCAGAGGCAGGCAGATCTCTGTGTGGTCTACAAAACCTAGTTCCAGGACAGCTAGGACTGTTACACAGGGAAACCTGTCTCGAAAAACCAAAACAAACAAAAAACAACAAGTGTGGAGCCCTGTACTCAGCCTCCTGCACTCCCCTTTCTATCAGAGCAGCCTTGTGACACACCAGTCGCAGGGACAGAGACAGGCAGAACCCCTAGACACACAGACCAGCTTGTCTAGATTCAGGCTCACTGGAAAAACCTGTCTCACACAATAAGGTAGAGGGAAGACAAGACTGCTCGGCTGGTACAGGTTCTTGCCACCAAGTCTGGGGTCAACGTGAGATCAAGCCTGAGGTCAGGCTCAGTGGGACCCACATGGTGGAAGGACAGAACTGACTCCTGCAAGGTGTCTTCTGACCCCCCACACGTGCGCTGCAGCGTGTTACAGCATGTGCACACGTACACGTAGAGGCCTGGGGCTGTCGTTCACGAGTAGAGCACTTGCCTGGCTTTCGTGAGGCCCCATGTAGAATCTACAGTACTGCCAGACAGACAGACAGACAATGAAAACATAGAGACTTCTAGACAGGGTCTGTTACGTAGCTCTGACTATCCTAAAACTCACTATGTCCTTGAACTCACAGAGATCCAATTGCCTGTTTATCATGCCACCATGCCTGATCTCAAAAATGTAATTAAAAAAAAAATATATTGAGACTGGAGAGATGGCTCAACAGTTAAGAATACTTGACTGCTCCTCCAGAGATCCTGAGTTCAATTCCCAGCAACTATATGGTGGTTCACAGCCATCTGTAATGGGATCAGATTCTTTCTTCTGATATGTATGAAGACAGAGTACTTATATACATTAAACACGTGACATAAAATACAGAATAATAAATCATATATATATATATATATATATATATATATATATCAGTCAGGCAGTGGTGGCACACCTCTTTAATCCCAGCACTTGAGAGGCAGAGGCAAGCGGATCTTTGTGAGTTCAAGACCAGCCTGGTTTACAAGAGCTAGTTCCAGGACAGGCTCCAAAACCACAGAGAAACCCTGTCTCAAAAAAAACAAAACAAAACAAAACAAAAACAAAAAACAAATATAGACAGATAGATAGATAGATAAAAAATAATAATAAGGGGGAAGCCAATAAAAGACAGCTAATATCAGCTTCTGGCCTCCACATGGGAACACACACACACACACCTCCAGATGACTCTAAGGAGTCCACACCCATCCTCCTGGGTGAATCTTACTTTCTCCCCACTCTTTCACGTAACCCTGTGCTTACAATCATATTGAAATCTTTTAATTAAAAGAAACAAATCACTCCAGTCATGGAATACCAACAGCTGCCCGCTTTGGGGGCAAGCCGTCCCAGCATACCTTGAGCCAAGATGTCAGACTGTACATCTCCATCATAGTTCTTGCAGGCCCACACAAAGCCACCTGAAGACTTGAGCACCTGGGCCACCATGTCGTCGATGAGCCGATGCTCGTACCATATCTTATTCTTGTCAAAGTCAGTCTTATAGTGCCTGGGGGCAAAAGGGCTTGTTTCGGGGAGAGGACACGAGGTAGGCAGCTTAAGGACCCCTCCCTGCACCTCAAAGCTAAAGCTGAACCAGGCGCGCCGGGAGCGCAACCTCCCCAGGTGGAGTAGGGATGGCGCAGGGGAGCTGGGAGGCTGCAGTGCCCTCAGAAAGCGGCAGAGGCTGTTACTTGTCAAAGATCTCCTGGAAGATGTCCTTGAAACGGCCGTCATAGGCCTTCAGGATGGTGTTCTTGGTGCTCAAGTAGAGCGGCCACTTCTTCTGGAGAGCGTACTGGAAGCAGCTGTGCGCGAAGCCCGAAATGGACTGTGGGGAGAGCGGGCAGAGCATGGCCCCTAGCCTGAGACTGCCAGGTTTGCCATGGTCCCAGGGCCAGGGCCAGCATCACCTCCGTAAGATTCCTCAACCCTTGCCACCATGGAGCGAGCCCCTGTTGTTTTGGCTGGCCCATCTTCTCCCTCCAGACTTTCGGGAGCAGACCCCACCACTTCGCTTCGGACAGTTATCACATTCTTCTTAGACCTTAAAGTCGCTGCAGGCCTGGGTGGGGGCAGGCCCGGTTAAGCTGCCTATCCCGACCACTAGATTTGACTAGTGTCTCCAGTTTAGCCAATTAGAGCCCTTCCTCCCTGCTCATTAGTGATTGGCTCAAAGGTGGTCATGTGACCCAATCCTGGCCTGGGCAAGGAGGCGCTCTTTTCTGAGCAAGTGTTCTCTTCCATCTCTTCCTGGTCAACAGAAGTAAAGAAAGCTACAAAATAGGCAGAGGTAGAGAGGAGCGGGCGAGGAGGCCCTGGCCAGCCTTACCTCGTCGGTGTTGTACATGCCCATGCCCACGCCGCCGGCGGGGAAGTTGTACACCTCCCACTCCTTGGGCGCACTGCCGTCCTTTGGGGTGAAGACCATCTTGAACGTGCCAGCGCGATCGA